CTTCCTTCCTTCCCTCCTTCCTTCCCTCCCTCCCTCCCTCCCTCCCTCCTTCCTTCCTTCTTTTCTTTCTTTTTTTGTCTTTTTGAGACAAGGTCTTGCTATGCAGCTCAGGCTGGTCTTGAGCTCACTTTGTAGCCCAGGCTGGTTGCAAACTGTCAATGATCCTCCTGCCTCAGCCTCCTGAGTACTGGGATTACAGGCATGCACTGCTATGCCTGGCCTCCCATGCCTTTTCTTATTTAAAATTTTTACTTTTCTGTCCCTTCTATTCGAAGACTGTCTACTAGCTTTGCTCAATGGCAGTATCATAACCAGTGAGGTTTATCTGAGGCACATTTATTGTTAATTAAAAAATAAGACTCCTTTTTTTTTTTTTTTTGCGGAACCAGGGATTTGAACTCAGACCCTTGTGCTTGCCGGGCAAGCGCTTATTTTACTGAGCCATCTCCCTGACCCATAAGACTCCCTGTTAATGTATTAAACTTCACAGCCATGGTGCTTGCTTTGGCCGCACGTATACTAAAAACCTTTTTAGCCATGTTACCAGTGAGTATAAGCTTTTCAATACCACATTTTAAAATTATAGGCATGTTTTTTCTACCATTCTTGTAAGATTGAACACATTTTTTAAAATTATAAATTGTGGGCCGGGGAGATGGCTCAGTGGAATAAGCGCTTCCTTGGCAAGTGCAAGGGTCTGAGTTCAATCCCCGGTTCCGCCAAAAAAAAAAAAAAAAAAAAAAAAAAAAAAAAAAAAAAAAAAAAAAAATTAAAAAATTAAAAAAAAAATTATAAATTGTATTCTGTTGTTTCTCCTAACAACTTTTTGTGGAGGGGAGGGCGGCAGTGCTGGGGTTGAACCAAGGGCCTATGTGTGCTAAGGGCTTGGCTTGCCACTGACCTTGCTCGGCAGCCCCTAGATGAGTTCTTTAGGAGGTATTTCCAGATGGGCTTGGTGGTGCACACTTGTAATCCCAGCCCACAGAGACTGAGGCAGGAGGAACATTTCAAGTTTGAGGCCATCCTGGGCTACAAAGTGAGCTCAGGGTGCTGGGGAGATGGCTCAGTAGAATGTTTGTCTGGCAAGCACAAGGGCCTGAGTTCAATCCCCAGTTCCACCAAAAACCAAAACAAAACAAAACCAAAGTGAACTCAAGGCTAGCCTGAACTGCGCAGCGAGTCCCCGTTTTAAAAAAGACCAAAATAAAGTATTTCCTGATGTGTACAATAATTATTGTACAAGCATGCAACAATAACTATTATAATAAAATAGCATATAATAATTATTGTTTAATTATTAAGTCTGGGGTTAAATTTTTTTTTTTTGTATTTTAGGGAAGGGTATACAGGGTGTTCAGGGGCTCACTACTAGATCAGATTCATAGTGATCCCCCTATTTACAGCCCCTCAAGAGTTGGGATTATAGGCACATGCCACCATGTACAGTCTTGGGGTTAATATTTTCTAAGCCTTAAAATTAGGCAAGCTGGGGATATAGCTCAGTGGCATAAACACCTTCCTGGCAAGTGCGAGGTTCTGAGTTCATTCCCTGGTACCAAAAAAAAATAAGTCTATAAAATTAGTCTAAATTTACCTGTGCATATGTGTGTATATATGTCTATACACATGCTTTTAAAGATCAGTATAATTAAATGATAATATGTCATTGTTTTATATCTTTGCTGAGTATACAGTGTTTCTAATGCTTAAATAATTTCAGAAATAAAGAATGCCTTATCTTTCTGCCCTTCGTGCGTTTGTGGTGCATCCTAGGCTCATGTTTTACCAGGACTCATGTTCGTGCTGTGCTCTGCCTCCACTGTGAGGGCCAGAAAGGGTACAGTGGGGTGGTGGCCAGGACCAGCTTCGCCTGCACTGGGGCCCATTGTGGTAGGTCCATCTTGTGAGTGCCCCTGGCATGGGGTGACCCCAGCAGCACACAGGTGGGGGTGGCATCTGTTCCTGTGGGCCCTGTTGTGAGGTGACATAGCCTATCTCTGCTTCTGCTGGGACTGAGACGAGCCCCTGAGGGCTAAGCCTCTGCAGCCATAGGAGAAGGGAGACTCACAGGAGGGTGCTGAGGGTGGGAGCTTCCCAGAGCCCCTTATCTATTTTTACTGTTTTCCTTAAAAATATTTCTGACATTTCTGTTACCACAGCACACTCAGGCCATTTGTACGTCTCACATTTGTAGGCACTTCAGAGTTCTGACACTTTTCCAGCAGTGCCGCAGAGGTGAAGAGAGCAGAAAGACCCCACTTTGGGTGGATAGCAGCCCCCAGTCACCCTTGCCACAAGAGTCTCTCTGCCCAAAGTTTGCCCCTGGTCTGACTTTGGCAAAGGGAGTTGCTTCCTTTTGGATGGGACTGGGTAGGTCCTGGCTTACCTGTGTGCCTGCAGCACCTCGGGGGTCCTCACAGCTCCTTGGTGGGAGGAACCCTGAGCTTGTCTTCCACATGTGGTGTTCCCCCATCACTTGACAGATCCCCCTCTTGTTCCTGGCAGTGACCTGGGGCTCTGATTGGGTCTTTAGAAGCTAGGTAGAGATGATTGATGGGTACCAAATGGCTCCTGGGAGAGGGGAGAGTCAGTTCTATCTGCCCAACTTTACCCAGAGGTAGAGCCTTGGCCTGGGACAAAGAATGAGGACAAGAAAGCCCTCCTCCAACTTGAAGTCTGCCTTAAGGTGTGGGGCCCGATCCACCCTCTCACTGTCATATAATAGTGCTGGGGAAGGCTGAGAGGGGACCAGGCCAGGGGAGACACTTGAGGCTTGGCAGAACCCAGGCTGGGTGCCAGGGGTGAACTTGGCATCTCCTTGTTGCCCAAGTAGGGGGAAGTCCCTGGCCCCACTATGTCTAGGAAAGGAGGAAGCGTACTTTGGGGGTTATCTATCCCAGGGACACTCCAGGTTTTGTTTCATATCTGGACCCCACCTGGCACCTGTCCCAAGATTCACTCCTGAGATGGGTTTGGTGAGAAACAGATGGAGGAGATAGTTCCTTCCTAAGAAACCAAGCACTCAAGCTTGGTGGAAACATCTGCCGCTGGCCTCAGGGGACTGGGCCCAGGCAAGGGGTGGGCTAGAGTCTGTCTGTTCTTGAAGGGTGGTCCTCAGTGCAGGTAGCAGGCTGAGGGCTGGGAGAGCACCCGAGCCAGAGGGGATTTGCTGACAGTCTCTGGAATAGGAGCTGCCTGGACTCAGGGCTTGCCAGCGGTGTGGTAGATCTGTGCATGGGTAGGCTAGAGAGGCTCAGGGGCCCGCACATCCAGGCCTGGTGCTGGACTAAACCTGATCACAATGAATGAAAGGGAACGTTTGGGTTTTCTGTACTATTCCATTTTATTTTTCTTTTGAAAATTCTATGCTGTGTCTGGGTGCTGGGGTGTGTGTGTGCATGAACCCCAGCCTCTCATGATGTAGGCCAGGGTATCCTTACTGCTGGACCCACGCCCAGGCTCCTCCTCAGCCTCCCTTGCCCGGGGGCCTGTCCCTCCCTGCTGACTGTAGTGGAATCAGCCTCTCCAGTTTCTGGTAATTTCATCAGGGCTGCATCATGTTGCTAAGTCTAGAGATAACATCTCCCCACTGGTAACCCTTCCCCGTCAGAGCCCCCTCGGCCTGGATAGGGGGTGTGAAGGGAATCTGGGGGTGTCAGGCAGAAGCAGGTTGACTGCACTGCTGGACCAGTGTTTAGGAACACTGCTATTTGACTTGGGACCCCAGAAGGAGGAGAAGGAGGAGGAGGAGGAGGAGGAGGAAGAGGAGGAGCAGGAGGAGGAGGAGGAGGAGGCGGGAGCTGAGGGGCAGCTGGGAAGGCAGTTGAAGGTTACAGGGTCCCCAGATACTATTGTGTACCTGCTGACAAACTTCCAAGCCAGGGTGCTGCCAGATCTGCCTTGCCCAGGCCGTGCTAACGGATCCACCTTAACCAGGGCCCTGGGCGGGGCGTTCTTGATGCCATCTTTGCTGAGCCAGCCGAGGGCCCTGTCTGGGGCATCAACAGCTGCCAGCTTGCATCGCGCTTCCCAGCACCATGATCCAGGGCGCCATGGAGACCAGTGGACCCCTCTGGGGCTGGGATGGCAACAGCGAGGATGACTGGGATGGTGCTGTGCTTGCCCTGCTGGCTCTGGCTGTGGTGGCTGCCACAGCACTGGCTCTACACTGGTTTGGTTCCGGACATGACCAGGATGTGTTGAGACCAGAGTCGATGGCCCCCAGGGTCCAGCCTGCTCAGATGGGAACAGCTAGGCCAAGCCTGCAGGCCCAGTTCAAGTTCAGTGACTTGGAAGGACAGGGCGCCGGGCAAGGGAAGCCAGACTCCCCAGGAAGAGGCCAGGAGGCCCCTGCTCCTGCTGGAGCCCACGATCAGGGGTCCCCGCATGGTGGATGTCTGACCCTGCTTCCCCTCAAGACACCCAGCCAGGTGGCCGGCAGAGGGACCGTGGGACAGCAGCGTGACAGCACCTCAAGAGCCCCGCGGGGGGACAAGAGCCAGCCTCTGAAGCCAGAAGGTGACCTCCTGAGTACGACCCCCACGCCCCTCCTGATCCACTTCACCCCTCGCAGTCCTAGCTGTGAAGCGGAGCTAAGGGTGGATGCTGGCGGCAGGGGTGCACGCAGCAGAGGCTGGAGTGGCCGGCGGCGGCGCGCGGATGCGGGCCCGCGGGCTGGACGCGGCCACGCCAGCAGGCCAGACCCTCTGCGCCTGGGCGCCGCAGCCAGTGTGTGGGACGCGGTGGACGCGGCTGCCGCCTCCAGGGAAACCCTAGGACTCGAGGAGGGCTGGCCCCGGGTGAACCCTGGCCGGGGCCCAGGTCCGGGGGCTGAGCGGGCCGAGGCGTCAGGGAAGCCCTGGACTGAGATGCCGGGAGATCTCAGCGTCCGGGAGGGAACCGGGTCCTTGAAAAGCGAGAACAGCAAGCAGGCGGCCCAAGGGCCCTGTCCTGGCCACCCTGCTGCAGTCCCTGCTCCTTCAAATCTGGCGCCTGGCAGAGTCACCCAGGGGCCTTCTAAGGCCACAAAACGGGGAGCAGTGCCTGAGTCCTCTTTAGCACCAGCCTCAGCCTCCGCCCCAGGTGTCGCTTCAGCTGCGACTCCAGACCTGGACCCAGCAGGGGCTCCTTCCCTTCACCGTTTCTCATCCCTAGAGCCAGTGTCAGCAGCAACCTCACCTCCAGCCGCAGCCTCCCCACCAGCCCCAGCCACAACTCTAACCCCAGCTCCAGTCTCAGCCTCAGCCCCAGCTCCAGCTCCAGCCCCAGCTTCAACTCCAGTCTTCCCCACAACTCCAGCCTCCCCCACAGTCCCAGCCCCAGCCACATCTTCAGCTCCAGTGGCAGCCTCCCAGCCAGCCCCAGTCCCAGCTCCAGCCCTAGCTCTAATTCCAGCCTCAAACTCAGCTGCAGCCCCAGCCTCACCTCTAGCTCCAGTCCCAACCTTGACCATAACTTCGGCTCCAGTGTTAGTCCCAACCCCAACACCAGAAATGGAGTCAAAACCCTTGTCTTGGGAGCCCAAAGTGGGTGTCTCCAAGGGCTATCAGGAAGGACAGATTTTAACAAGCTGGGGAAACCTTATTGCCATGGTTCTTAGAAGTCACCCCTTGTCCAGGCCAGAGAGGCCCCAAAGGAGTGCTCCAGGAGCAGCTCCACTAAACCATTCAGACCCTAGCACTTGCACATATTCTAAGGCCGGAAGCTCTAGTTTCCACTTGGAAGAGGCTGTCCCCAGCCCCCAGAACAGGCACAGCCCTTCTCTGGGGACAATCTCACAGGGAGGTACAGGGGGCCTGGCTGAGGCTGGATGTCAGCCACAGCCAGTGAGCTTCAGGTCCAATGAGGCTACCATTGCAGGCCCATGTTCAGGCCCAGGAGGTGATGGAAGCAAAGAGAAACATGTGAACCTGCGAGCCCAAGATGCCCCGCCAGGGGACCTCTCACTGCCTGCAGTACAGGGCCAGTCTGGCCCCAAGCAGTCCACTCCTGTGAGGCAAGACTCCCAGCCTGTACCCAGACCCAGGAAACATAGCATGTGTGAGATAGCACAGAGCTCAGAGAAGGTGATCAGCCAGGCAGCCTTCGGGCAGCACCAGGGGCAGGGGCCAGGGGATGGAGCAGGCTCAGCTGGCAGCAGAGGAATCCTCACAGAAAAGCAGAAGGAAGCTCAGAAACTTATGGCTTTTCTGCAGAGGCCTGGAAGCTGGGGGGTGGTGGAAGGGCTCCCCCGGAATCCCCGCTCTCCAGCCTTGGAGTCTCCTGCAGCCGTGGCTCTGTGGCCCCAGCGGCTAGACCTGGACAGTTGTCTGGAGGTACTGGCCTTTGCCCAGCAGCATGGGGCACTGGCCCTGGCCCAGGAGACCTATGCCTTGATGAGCAGCAATCTGCTTCATGTTCTGGGTGATGCGCACCTCTACCGCCAGCTAAGTGGGGCTGAGCGAGAGCGAATCCTGAGCCTACGCACTGGCCAGGGCCGGGCGGTGCTGGGCATACTTGTGCTACCTAGCCTCTACCAGGTGGGCCGTGCAGGGCTGCTGAGGGGCTCTCATGGAGAGGAGGCCCCTGTGACCCAGACGGTGTCCATACCTGCTCGTACATACCTGCATGTGTTCGACCCCCGGGAGAACATGTGGCGGCCCCTGACTCAGGTGCCTGAGGAAGCCCCACTCCGGGGCTGTGGCCTCTGCACCATGTACAACTACCTGTTCCTGGCAGGTGGGATCCGGGGCTCTGGTGCCAAGGCCATCTGCTCCAATGAGGTTTTCTGTTACAACCCTCTCACCAACATCTGGAGCCAAGTCCGGCCCATGCAGCAGGCCCGAGCCCAGCTCAAGCTGGTGGCTGTGGACGGGCTGCTTTATGCTATTGGAGGTGAGTGCCTGTACAGCATGGAGTGCTACGACCCCCGTGCAGACTCCTGGACCTCACGGGCACCTCTTCCTGCCGGCACGTTCCCTGTGGCCCACGAGGCTGTGGCCTGCCGAGGGGACATCTATGTCACAGGAGGACACCTCTTCTACCGCCTGCTCAGATACAGTCCTAGGAAGGACTCATGGGATGAGTGCCCCTACAGTGCCAGCCACCGGCGCTCCAGTGACATGGTGGCCCTGGGGGGGTTCCTGTACCGCTTTGACCTGCTGCGGGGTGTGGGTGCAGCGGTGATGCGCTACAACACAGTAACAGGCTCCTGGAGCCGTGCTGCTTCGCTGCCGCTGCCCAACCCTGCTCCACTGCGCTGTGCTGTGCTGGGCAACACCATCTACTGCCTCAACCACCAGGTCACAGCCACCTTCACAGTCTCTGAGGGGACTGCTCAGTTCCAGGCCAAAGAACTACAGCCCTTTCCTCTGGGGGGTAAGGGAGTTCTGTATCCCTTCACCCTGACTCTGCCTTCCGAGGCCTGGTTGCAGACCTCACTCTGAGCACCAGCAGAGCCAGGGAGACCATCCAAGTGGGTCTCAGGGATGTGGGGCATGGGGAGGAAGCTGGGTCAGAATTTGCAATGCCACCTTTCTCTCTCTGTCTAAAAGTTCTGAAAAGCTGTTTCTGGAGTGAGCTCTCTTCTGTCCCTGTACCCCAACCCAGGCTTCACATTGCCTCCTTGCCCACTCATACCCTGGTTTCCTGCTTGGTCCTTATCTGCTTAGCCTGCTTCAGCTTGTTCCAAGTCACCCCTCTGTCTGTAGGACTCCCAGGTGGTCCCACAGCCAGGGAAGGAGATGGCTAGAAACATATTTGTGCTCCTATGAGGAAGCAAAGGGCCCCCATAAAACAGCCTCACCTCTGGGACTTTTGCCATCCTGAGGCTTTTTGGGAGCCAGGCTTGTGGTAGGAGTGGTGCTTGGAATCGTTGTCCGTGAAGCTGGGTGGGATCTGTGCTCCATTCCCTCAGCCTGGTCCATGACCCTGTCCAGGCAGAGCCAGTACGGCTGGGCTCCTGCACACCCCTGGGGTCTTTCTCAGGCTTTCCAGACTCCCACCCCACTTCCCACCAGCCTCCCCCTAAATGAGCCCCAAGTTTAACAGCTCTGTGGAACTGGATCAGACATTTAACCCTCGTTTTTCTTGTGGACATTGGACACTTGTCATTCAGAAGAGCTGTGAAAGCGTGATCACCAACGCCCAGGGCATACAACATGAGAACTTAAATGTCCTCCCGTTAGCCACCTCGAGACCCATGTTAGGCAGACAAATAAAGCTGATTTAGTATACTGCCTGGCCCAGCCCCTGGCCTCATTTGTCCCTCTCTGGGCTGTGTTTTGCTTTTTATTCTATGCTTAATATCACTGGTGCCAAATACATGTCCAACCCAAGCAGCATTTGCATCTTACACTCGTTATGCTTTGCTAACAAGGTCGGTAAGCACCCGAGTAGATCATGGTGCAGGACAGACGGGATCACGAGGCTGTGCTTCAAAATAGTTTATTGAGAAACAAGACCATGCATACAGTGCACACCAGGTAACTGACTCGGTCCTGGGCCTCTGTACACGGGCAGGTGGAGGGTGGTGGCTGTAGCTGGGACGTGGGGCTACTGCTTGCGCTTGGTCTCACTGAGCAGCTCTTGCCAGTTCTTCTCCATCTCCTCCTTGCAGCTGAGGAAGGCATCCTCCAGCCGGCGCATGAACTCTGGCAGCACAGGGTCAGTGCGCATGACGACCATGTCGTAGGCCATCCAGGTTGCTTGCACTGCAACAGGCAGACAGGCAGTGAAATCCCGATGGAGCCACAGCCCTGGGGACCTCCCCTGTGCCGAGCTTCCAGGGATCACCCTAGTGGGACACCAGACTGTTCTGAGAGGAGAGAGGAGTTGGCTACATGTTAAGAGCTCATAAAATTCCTATAAACACCCTTCCCTACAAAAAGTAGTGGTGGCACTTCTTGGTCTCCTACAAGGCTTAGCTTCTGGGTACATCAGCCCAAGCCAGTAGACTTGGAGGACTTCTGATATGAAATGTGAGAGAAATGAAAGCAACTGCAGGCCCCCTGTATGTAGTTGACAATTAGGGGTGCAGGGCGACCCCCAGGCACCACAACATCTACCCAAGTTTACACACTCAGTTGGGTTGGGCATTCTCAGGTCTGTGAGACTCAAGTCTCACATTTTCTCATGGTCAGTGGCCTTGGGTGCACCTGCAGCTGGCACCTCTGTGCTTTCAGAATCTTCTTCCTTTTAGGGTTGTTGAGCACCCACACTGATGGGATTTCTTCTTTTTTCCTGACAGCAACTTGAAAGTAGGTCTACTTGGGTTTCTAGATGAACACATGTAATGAGCACTCAGTAGGAAGCAGCTCTACAGCCCCCCCCCCCACTACTGTGGCTCTGTCTCTAGAACCATAAAGAAAAAAGGTCATGCTCCTCTTTGTGACATCCAAACACAATAACTATATCCCCTTAGAAGTCTTCTTGGTGGGCCCCAAAAGTATGGGATACTTTGGGAAGCTATGTCTTTGGGGACAATTAGCCAAAGAGGGCATAGAAGAATGATTAGTAATATAGAGCACATATATATGGCTATACAGCCAAGGCCAACTAGGCAGCAGACTTAGCAACAGCTTCTCAGTTAGAGAAAAACTACAAGAAAAGGTTGTGCAGTGTCTGAGCAGAGTTCATGTGACTTTGCAGCTGGTATAGGTATTCCTGAATTCTTGGAAGCAGGAATGGCACCTGAGACACCCTAATTTAGACTTCTGCTCCTGCCTAGGCCTATGATGGCTTTTATTTAGCATACTGGAGAAAGTGCCTGCGAACTCATATCCTAATGACAGCCTGGACTGTTCTGATGTATGTGCCTGCATACCAACCATTTCTCTTTTGTTTTGAGATAGGTCTCATTAGGTAGTTCAGGCCAGCCTCGAACTCACTATGTAGTCCAGGTTGGCCCTGAACTCGTGGTAATCCCTAAGTGCTAGGGTCATAGGTGTATGCCACCATGTCTGGGAAGACCACACTTTAGACTCCTGGAGAGTGAATTATATAGACCTGGGAACAGAGTGGGTTTGCTTCACAGCTCTCCACTCACTAGCCACAAAACCTTGAGCAAAGACTAACATGCTAACCTTAGTCTTGTCATCTGCAAAGTAGAGGTTACTATATTGGATTATTTATAATATT